GACACAGATGGCCAGTGTTGCAGTAATAACATCGTTGCTAGAGATCCACTTTGAGGACTGCAACTGAGGCATGAGTTGAGTACAAATGTCCTTCACCTTGGCTACTTTCTCGGAGCTGAAGGTGTATCGCTTTGTCTCGACCATAGAGGACAAGGCAGATTCCATTGCATTCCATTGCTCAGTGGAAATGTTGGGATCAAAAACAGGCGTTCCCAACTCAATGCTGTGGTCGAGGCGCTTCACACATTTAGATGGAAATTTTGCGACTTCCTTCCGGAGATCATCATGGGTCTTCGCGATAGTCTGCGCGAGGCTGGTTGTGATTTCTTCGTTGGTTGACTTGCAGCACTCGGCGACTGCTTCCAGGATCACACCGGCCCGGTACCATCAAAGACGCTGTGCCAGAAGGACATGGCCACAATGATCCTGCTATGAAATACATTTGCCTGAAAGCGAAGAACAGGACGCTGTTGGGAGGCTGGGATAAATGTGGGCAGAGGCAGATAGGACTGGATCGGGTGAGAATGAGAGTCTGCATCGCCGTCAAAGTGCTTGGTCTTCAGCATAGGGACATCAGAAAGAGGAACACGTGGGGGCGCAATATGCATTCGGTTCTTGGGCCCGTCTGGCACACTATAGAGAACCACATCTCCGGCGAGCCAGGGCAATTCTGAAATCAACCTGTCAATTCCTTTCTGGAGGGTGGAGAGGGCTGTCTGCGTGTCGGTCGTGTCGAAGTACAGGATATACGGCAGGAAGAGCTTCGCCGGGATGTGGTCGAGCGGGCTTAAAGCCAGCAGACCAGGGCCATCCGACATGCTGGAAGATTGATATGAGGAGAATTCAAGTGAAATAATACAGTCACGGAGTTTGATGTTGGTCAACGAGGTGATGATCCTCGCCGTTCAGACAAGATCTTTGATGCGAACCATTTCCTTGACAGGTTGCGGTCGTCCCATCCCTCCTGAATCCCCTTTAAAGCAGCCCACTACGGACGTTCAACTCCGAAATTAATAGACCAGATAACAAAGAAACGGTGTAACCGGGGTTGTTGTTAGTCTGACGCCGCCGCATACATAGATTGCGTCTCCCAGTAAGGTGCAAGATGCCATCAGATTCGAAGCCAGTCAGTGGGCTGAAGCACCGGACTTGTATGCGGGCTGTCTATGACAATAGTCGCATAGGAGCGCAAGTCTTCGCCAGCATGTACAACCATTGATTATAGGATCATCAGGATGGCATCTTGCAACCGCTTGACTGGGATGATACGACAATCTATGTATGCGGCGGCGTCAGACTAACAACAACCCCGGTTACACCGTTTCTTTGTTATCTGGTCTATTAATTTCGGAGTTGAACGTCCGTAGTGGGCTGCTTTAAAGGGGATTCAGGAGGGATGGGACGACCGCAACCTGTCAAGGAAATGGTTCGCATCAAAGATCTTGTCTGAACGGCGAGGATCATCACCTCGTTGACCAACATCAAACTCCGTGACTGTATTATTCACTTGAATTCTCCTCATATCAATCTTCCAGCATGTCGGATGGCCCTGGTCTGCTGGCTTTAAGCCCGCTCGACCACATCCCGGCGAAGCTCTTCCTGCCGTATATCCTGTACTTCGACACGACCGACACGCAGACAGCCCTCTCCACCCTCCAGAAAGGAATTGACAGGTTGATTTCAGAATTGCCCTGGCTCGCCGGAGATGTGGTTCTCTATAGTGTGCCAGACGGGCCCAAGAACCGAATGCATATTGCGCCCCCACGTGTTCCTCTTTCTGATGTCCCTATGCTGAAGACCAAGCACTTTGACGGCGATGCAGACTCTCATTCTCACCCGATCCAGTCCTATCTGCCTCTGCCCACATTTATCCCAGCCTCCCAACAGCGTCCTGTTCTTCGCTTTCAGGCAAATGTATTTCATAGCAGGATCATTGTGGCCATGTCCTTCTGGCACAGCGTCTTTGATGGTACCGGGGCCGGTGTGATCCTGGAAGCAGTCGCCGAGTGCTGCAAGTCAACCAACGAAGAAATCACAACCAGCCTCGCGCAGACTATCGCGAAGACCCATGATGATCTCCGGAAGGAAGTCGCAAAATTTCCATCTAAATGTGTGAAGCGCCTCGACCACAGCATTGAGTTGGGAACGCCTGTTTTTGATCCCAACATTTCCACTGAGCAATGGAATGCAATGGAATCTGCCTTGTCCTCTATGGTCGAGACAAAGCGATACACCTTCAGCTCCGAGAAAGTAGCCAAGGTGAAGGACATTTGTACTCAACTCATGCCTCAGTTGCAGTCCTCAAAGTGGATCTCTAGCAACGATGTTATTACTGCAACACTGGCCATCTGT